GCTAGTTATAGCTTAATTCAAAGGGATAATGGTTAGATTTTTTTTTAATTTTCAAGTTTTATCAAAAAATGACATTCCTATTTGCTCTTTATCTAGTTCTGAATTTTAATACATACTTACAGTGATTTATAGAAACCATCACTATGTAAATATTGAACTATGCGTTATGCAGTGTACATAGATGCTATAGTTTCTATGAAATATAGTGACCCGAAACCACTTTTCTATATTGTTAGAAAAATTGTATTTCTGGCTAAAAATTAACAATAGACAACTTGTGAATATAAACTGCTGTTTCTTAAAAAAAATAAAATAAAAAAAAATCTACCTGTTATTCATGAATCCAACCTATAGTGTCTTGAAGTCAATAGCATGCATTTTTAATATTCTTTACTTCACATGAATGAGACCTTCAATAAGTAACGTAACATTCACAACATGGAAAAAAAATAAAGATTTGCTCAAAATCTGACAAAAGCAAAACAGTTTGCAGTGTTGTTGTAGCCATGTTGGTCCCAGGTTTTTAGAGAGACAAGGTAGGTAAGGTAATATCTTTTATTGGACCAACTGAGAGAGACAAGCTTTCGAGCTACACAGACCTTGTCTCTTTCACCAATAGAAGTTGGTCCAGTAAAACATGTTATCTCATCAACCTTTTCTCTCTAAAAGTAAAGCTGTCAGACGTTTGCATGATTAACTACAATGGGGATCGGCAACTTTTGGCACGTGCCCCATCAGGGAAATCTGCTGGCGGGCTGGGACGGTTTATTTACCTGCAGCGTCCACAGGTTCAGCCAATCGCAGCTCCCACTGGCCACAGGTCACTGTTCCAGGCCAATGGGGGCTGCAGGAAGCAGCAGCCAGCACATCCCTCGGCCCACGCTGCTTCCCGTAGCCCCCATTGGCCTGGAACGGTGAACCACAATCAGTGGGAGCTGTGATTGGCAACCTAGTCCTTGTACAGTTTGTAGGATTGGCCCTAAAGATGTTAATGATTGAAGCACGGGGTGGTTTAGGGAATTAGTAATTGAATCTTTAGCTGTGCTGAACTATCACTCAATATGGCTGATGGGAGTAGGCTACTGTCGCTTTAAGCCAACTGTCTGATTCCATTGGGCTGTTGTCTTTGTGCCAGTTGAGGATAACCCAATGCCAATCAAATCCTCAACTGCTTGTTTAAGAGCTCATTGGCACTGTAGCCAAGCCTGAGGATCTGGCCTCCAATGTTTCATTGTCCTCCCCACAACTCTAGAAAATCCTATAACAGATACTGTAAGAGTATACATAAGTGTTACATTTTAGCATTGAGAGAGGGACAATTTAGGCAAAGTGTTAGGAAAACTTCTTTTAGAGAGGATATGTATTAAATTGCAGAATTACCTCCAAAGGGAAGTGGTGGAAGCCCCATCACGTGGGACATTTCAGCCCCGGCAGGACAAAATACTAGAACGTGTGCCATAAAACTCAATTCCACCAAGTCTCCTGGTTTCTATGGGCTCCACAACAGAGAAGCCCGTTGTTTTCCAGTCTCATGGCTTGTTCGGATGCAAACGGCACAATCCAAATCTCATTTCTTTATGTATCTATCCACATTTATAAAATAGACATTTCCTACTACACAAGCCTCTGGATGTATTGCTATCAATAGTGCATTACAAACACCCACAGTTGGCAGCATTCAGACAGTTCCAGACTCTCTCTGGAAATCTGGGCTCAGGAACTCTCAGATCCTGCCTCCAAACAATATGAGTTGAGACCTTTCCCCTCTATTTAAACTCTGACTCAGGTAAAAGCTGTTGGGGAAGTGGGGAGGGGAGGGCTCAAAATTTGAACTGTGAGGCCATTTTAGGGTCCAGGTGAGATACTGGTATTTACAAATGTAGAATCATTATGGCATGGAAGGGCAGGCCTGGTAGAGGTTGTGGTGGAATTGAATAGAGAAATAAGGAACCTTTTGAAACATATGCAGGGAAAATAATCAAAAAATAACCAGTTTGGAATTTGGAAGGAAGGAAAGTGTAATCTCAGTCCCAAGGACTTCCTACCCTTTTGGATAAATTGCGTTTGGATAAACTGAGTTCCTGTAAAACAGGCATTCCCTTCCAGCAGGACAGGTGGAATTATAAGGCTATAGGAGTTAAAGAAGCCCTTACTATGTTAGGAAAAGTATTCAAAGCTTTGGTTGCTTATTGAACCAAACCAACAAATTATAGCCTTATCTTGCAAGCAGCTCTTCACAAGGAGGGCCCTTAGTCTGCACAGATCCCCATTGATGAAGGTTCCACATGGCAGTGATCTGCCTACATGGATCAACTTGCAGGATTAAGGCCAATTTAAGGTTTTCCCCATCGTTATAGTTCTATCATGGATTAATTACATTTCTGTTAGATTGGATTGTGTGAATATCATTCATACCTGGTACTATGAACCTTGTTAGTGGCTCTATAGCCACATCTAAGATATTGCAACATAAGTGACATTAACTCATTTCATTAGCTTTGCATCCTATGATTTGAGATAAATCGGAGCTAAAATAAGCAAAACGAGTCCTAGCTGGAGTTTTACGTGTATGTTTCATCATTTGAGAAAATTGTGATTTACAGTGCTATAAAATTAACATGAAAAAACCTAGAATCATTACTGTAATGTGGAAAATTATTTTCATATAAATACACTGTTTTTCTACTCAAACCACTTCTGATGATTTTTGCTGCATAGGGTACTCCTAAATGTTTAGACAGGGCTCTAAATCTGGGATCCAAAGTTAAAAAAAAAAAAAA